TCTTAGGCACCTATGAGAACTGTTTAGAACTTTGTCTTGGCAGTAGTGTTATAGAACTCATGTCCAGTTTTGGTCTTGAGATTGTCAGTCCTGTTGGTCCCCAAAATAATTATTTTTTGCAGTTAATTAATCTTTTTAAGTGAGCTTTTTTGTGTTTTAATGAAAAAAAAAATCTGTGAGATTTTATGTGTGAACAACTATTCAAAGCTGTGTCATGGCTAGTATTTTTGAATTATGCTCAAATTTGGTAATGACAAAAGCGAATGTTCACTTATTTGTATACACCAATCAGGCATAACATTATAATTCTTGTTTCTACGCTCATTGTCCATTTTATCAGCACTACTTACTATATAGGTGCACTTTGCTGTGTCTGATCCCCTCAGACCAGCGCAACACACACTAACACACTATCAACACATCAGTGTCACTACAGTGCTGAGAATGATCCGCCACCCAAATAGTACCTGCTCTGTGAGGGTCCATGGGGGTCCTGACCACTAAAGAACAGGGTAAAATGGGGCTAACAAAGTATGCAGAGAAATAGATGGACTACAGTCTGTAATTGTAGAACTACAAAGTGCACCTATATAGTAAGTGGAGCTGATAAAATGGACAATGAGTGTAGAAACAAGGAGGTGGTCATAATGTTATGCCTGATCAGTGTATATGCGCAAAGAGGATGTGCCTAGATAGTTCCATCTGGATGAATGCTTTTGAATTAAACCATGGAAACTGGCAATTGTAAAAAGGCAATAATTAAATGAGGAATTTTCAAGGCGTCTCTCTTTAGGACCGAGTAAGCGAGAGTGGCCTACTTGAATAAGAAAGCCATTTATTTCAAATATACATTTTTGATGATTCACAGGTTTATTTACATCCTGTGTTGACAGACACACCCCCTAATGTGATGAGCCTCTGGTGAAGGAAGCAGAGAAAGCTATTTGTGGTATGTTCAGTGGACATGTACCGCTAGTGCATTAGGTTAGGGCTGTGTGTGTATGGACAGAAATTTATTCCTTTTGTTCTACCATTCAAATGTAATTATACTGTGGCGTCTGCCACAGGCTCCGCACTGCGTGGGAAGCTTAGGGGTTGTGGCCATGCAAAGTGGCTCTCGGCATGCTCCACACTCCTGGTTAAAAAAGGACACTTGTTATTGTTGTTGTCATTGCTATTAGTAAGGATGTTGTTGTTTATGGAATTGTGTCCAAGGAGAGTGGGCTTTGAGTGTGAGTATGTCCACCCTTGTGTGTTGTGCCCTCCCACGTTACACCCTCCCAGTGTTTTGTGTTGGGGTAGTGCTGGGCTGGGCATTTTGCCGCCACTTCAAAATAAAAGAGCATTTACCTGTACACACAATGTCATCTGCATCTTCTTCTGTGTCGACGCTACAATATAATTTCACATTGTACTGTGCAAAAAGTAGTGGTCATCTATAGCCGGCATGCTCCACTCCAGCCCTGACACACACAAAAGGATAGGGATTTCATGACGCCAGGTTTTGCAATTCGTGAAACCAAAAGTCTGTCCAACAGGAGTAAAAGTGAAGGACATGAAGGCCAAACCTCCTCACTGCCCTTTTAACTACCCTTGGGAACTGAACCAGGTACATTAGAGGAAAAAAAAACTGTAGAGGAACCTTTCAGGAACATGGTTCCACAGAACAAGAGACCACACATGGTAACGTTATGTGGTCATTAATGAAAGGGCAGTTTTGTCACAGACATGTATTTTTTAACTTCTGATTGTGATCTAGCTTGCCTCATCGCAGCACAGCACTGTTAATGTCAGTGCATTCATAGAACTGAGACTTTAATGAGTATGACCACCACATACCATAGATAAGCCGTCAGGATTAGCTTCATTTACGACTTCCTCAACAACTCAAAGCCTTGTTTTATGTGTCTTTAATCACTGTATTAAACAACAACTTAATTCAGCTGCTCCAATTGCCCCGTCCTGCCCAGAGACTGGAACAGAATGGAATTTGAAACGTTTTAGCCAAAAATGTTTTCATGGTAAAGGTGTTTTTTGCAGAAACGTTTCAGATTTCGTTCCGTTCTCCGACTTCACAGGAAGCAGGATGCAGGCGTTGTGGATCAATGTGCAGGTGAGTGACCATCAGCTTACATGGCAACGGAATACAACATGGCAGTACCTCTGTGTGATGAATTGTCCTATGTGTATTGAATATATGTTAGCAAGTATGTGTAATAATTTGTAAGTGCCTATATGTATACATAATACAGTACTGTGCAAAAATCAGAGACCAGTCAAAATGGCCAAGATAAGTTACAGACTATAAGTTATTATTAATTTGTCAGCTTCAGGAAAAACCTCAACAACTAAATATAATATAAAATTTTTCTGTATTTAAACTGTCCACTATTTACCTTTATTACAGTTTCTATTCTTTTCGGGAGACTTCCTTCAGGTTTTCAAAGAAATTGGCAGGGATGTTTTGGAGCATTTTAGTTAATCACAGAACTTGACCAAGGTTGGGTTTAGTGATTCTAGGGTTCTAGGAAAAACAACATGGCGCTCAGATGCACATTTTTGAATAAATTGGGCTCCCGAGTGTTGCACTCATCTACACTGTAAAAAATAATGTCTTGGCAAGTGAAATCATCTTAAATCTAGTCAACATATCTAATACATCTCTTTTTAAAATTGTTATAAGAATATTAGAAGATTATTTGCAGGGCCCATATCCGATATTCTTCTTGTATATTATTTTTGACCTTGTGGTCCATTTCTGGCATTTATGTGGGTATTTAGGTACCAAATGAGTGGTAGCGCTTAGAATTAACCCTTGTGTGGTGTTGTTGTTTTTGTTACTCAGTGGTCTGGTGGACCCATCGCATTATTGTTTTTTAAATAAATAAAGCCATAACAATTTATGTAAAAATACCAGATGTTTAAAATATTACAAGTGGCCAGCGTAGGGTTCTCCTTTAGCAGCTGTAGCCAGTCAGCAGTTTGCCCATGTTGTCCACCCTCACAAACATGCACACATATACAAACACAGACACACACACACACTAACAGCAGGCCATGTAGGAGAACAGAGTGAAGGGACACAGCACCTCAACACTTTTATTCCCCATGGGTTCACCTGAACACCACATATGTAATATAAATGTGTAGGGGGTGAACAGTCTGAAGTCATTGAAAATTTGTTATTTTATATGTTCCTCGAAGAAAATGAGCCAAAAGTCCAGGAAGGCCAAAGGCCAAAGAGTCTGGGGTTGAAATAATAATTGCACCATTTTTTCTTTTGGTAAGCATTAAAAAGGGGCCCACAGACCCAAATATCACATAAGGGTTAAACAGGCTGTATTTGTTACTATGTCTTTAAGACTGATGTATGTAAATGATCTTTGTTCTGATGAACTGCCTTGTTTTGTGCCTCATTTAAAAACAGTTCAGACTGAAATGATCCTTTTAATGTGGCAAAATATTTTGGTTTTTCATGACATCACAGAAACAATGAATCAGTCAAATAATAAACTGTTTTTGCTGTTTAGTTTCCATATATGGACCTCATGGACATGGACATTTAACAATGTTTACATACTACATTCATCTCTTTCATTAAAAAAAGAAAATATGTTTTTCTTACAGCCGTGTTTTCTAATTTTTATTTGAATAGCTTGCATAAAAAAAACATTTTAACTGGAATATAAAAAACCAAAAGGATGGTCTCTGATATTTACACAGTATTGTATGAAAATATATAAAAATGAACAAGCACACACAAAAATGCATTTTTTTCACTTGTCTTTGAACATCATCTCTTTCTATGCTGGTATAAACAGGATTCTTTTGCTGGTACTGCAGTGCTATGTCTCTTGTGCTCTCTCCGGGTTCTTCTCCACTAATTGGCCTGGAGTCAGTGCACTCAGGGACAAAGTGTGTCCTCTTCCTTCCTCTGCCTCCAGCATAATCACTAGACTCTTATAAACAGACAGGCACCGTCAGCAAACTGTGACCTGTAAAGGCCTTATTTAGACCCATGCATTGGCACTGCTGGACATCTGAATAAGCAGTAATGAACTGGTTGTTTTGTGTGGGTCTTATTCAGTCTGGGAGGCAACACCAGAGAGCATTTGTTTAGAGTCAGTGTGAAACACTTTGTGTGGTTGTATCATTGTGGCAACAATGTGTGCTGTATTTTCACCATTCTGAATGCTCCTACACCTTCTAGTCAGTGAGTAAAACAGTGATGTAGTAATGCTAATTCATAATACTAATAATAGTATAATAGTAGTAATAGGAATTGATTAGTAATGCTAATTTATGCAAACTGCTAGGCCTTGAGTAAAGACCATACATGCCCGAACTTGGTCAAATTAGAAATAACACTACTGTAATTGTGGGATTTGATATGTTAACACCAAGCCTGTTGTGGTGCACATATTTTTTGGTAGTTCTAATTTAAATATGTATAGATGAAGCTTGTAAAGGACATTCCACATGTTTTATTTGGAGCTTGTAGCAGAGATTAACGTATATTTAACCTTGAAAACAGCAGTTTTGCAGTGAATCTTTCCGTAAAGAGCTGCTGTTTTCTGACCGAAACCGAAGAGTTTTGCTACTGCTGGTGTTTACAGTGAGTAATGTATTTAGGCTTTCTGGAAGCCTTTTATTTTTTGTCACAAAATTGTTCCCACTCATTAGAAAATCAAAATGTGATTAGTCCCTTTCTAATAATGCTTCTGGTTAATCTGATACGTCAGACCTTCAGTTAAACTTCTGGAATCCTAACCAGGAGTTTACAACCCTTTTGTTTGCAACCAAAACTTAACAATGAGGTAAAACTATTACTGCATAACCTTATGAGAAACAACAACCATGATTAGTCTATGAAATAAAAGTGGAAAGTATTTTTAGTGTGTATAAGTCGTTAGGCTTTCTCTGAAGGTCTTGAGTATAAATATAACCTCAGTGATTGTGCGTGTGTGCGTGTTTGTGTGTGATGTATGTGGTGTGTCCAGTGCAGGCAGTGTGGTGGTCCCAGGTAAAGGTGTCCTATGAGGTGAGCTCCACCTCCCCCCTCAGCCCCCCTGTCCCAGCGCCAGCAGCAGCTGCACAACTGAGGGATGTCCAAGCTGTTCATCCTGCTCAGCCTGCTCATACTCTCCTCCTGCATCCAGGTCAGCCTTTCTTCCTGTCTGACTTTCTCTCTCCTTGTGTCTCTCTCTCACTCTGTCTCTAGCTCTGTGGCTCTCTCTCTCACTCTCTGTAACTGCCTGTCTGTCTGTCTCTCTCTCTCTCTCTCTCTAACTGTCTATCTACCCCTCTCGTTCTCTGTCTCTTGGACTGCTGATTGGCTGCCTGAAATACATTCTGCATGCATGTTTATTAAAGGGGAATTCCACTGATTTTTCAAAAGTCCATAAATAAATGGTTTTCATGTAAACAAAGTCATTCAAAGTGGTTTGATGTGAAATGTATAATTCTAGAGAAACTCACAAAGTAAGAATTATTCATAGTGGTGGTGATAAGAACCAGACGGCTAAAGTTTAATGCCTCTAAAAGCTCCCACATATAAAGTTTTACATGAAGTGATTATGAATATGCTGCCTGATATCTGATGCATTGTTTTATGATAGATTTACACAAAGTTTTGGCCATTAATGTGTTTTGAAATCTATTTATGGTGGAGAGGTACATGCAGGATATTGTAAGGCAAAAAAATCATTATTTTACCTTTATCAACATTACATAAACTTACAAGACGTGATAGAATTCACTGGTGGTTTGGATAGTAAATAAAATGACTTTGTTTGCGTTGTAGACTTCACAACTCCTGCTTCTTTTCACCACCACTGAGTTTGTAAGTTTTGCTACAATGAACCATTTCACATCAAAACAGTCTGAATGACTGCGGTGGGATTCCCTTCTAACGTCAGTGCTTCTTGATTAGTCTGAAATCTGTTAAAGGCACAAAATTTATCCACTTCCAGCAGTTCAAACTCATTTCCAACTTAAGCCACACCCACTTCCAGTTTGTAAATAAAAAAAAAGGTATAGAAAAAAGTATAGGTCCAGAATCATTATCAGTGTTGGTATCAATTTTTAAAAATAAGGTTATGTTAAATTATAATCACACGGCTGTGTAAATTTCTTTCTGGTGCTCAAATATTTTACCTGTTTTTCACACTTTTTTGCTTTGTTTGCTTTTGCATGAGGGAGAGTACAAAGTGGTAGCACAGTACAGAGTAGCATGTCCCCCACACCTGCCTCTGTGTGGTCATCACAGTCATGTGAGCCTTGCAGAAGAGCGCAAGCAGTAGCTTTAGTGTTTAGAGGCTGTGTAATCAGTGAGGCCCCTGCAGATCGAGCAGTCCAAACAAAGCCTTTTCTACTCACTTAGGTAACATGATGAAAAGTCTACGTGCAGTATGGTGTTAGTGCAGCAGTTGTGATCCACAACCAAAACAATACATTTATCCTAACTCATGGACTACTTCGGAGAATGTCCACAATCTGGAGCTTAGCAACACTGAAGGTGATGTAACATAAAGAATGTTTCAGGCGAGTCTCTTTGATACTTCGCAGAGTCTAACTGCATTCACAATAAGGGGAATTTGCGCATGGGGTGGGGTGACCACAGTGTTCATAGCTTTATCAACAAAGGTTGCTAGAACTTCCGGTTTATCACACTTGGTTTTGTTTTTCTGTTTTGTTTACTTTATTTCGATTAGGTGTATATGTCTCAGCTGCACGCATCTTTGGTTGCTTGGGAACAGGCATAACAATTGATTTTCAATCTTAATTGAATAGTTTAAGATTTCCTGACTTGAGATAAGACACTGTTAGATAAGATATAATTCCTACGATAGGATTTGCTGTATTATGAATCTGTGAAAAATGTTTTCTTGAACTTAGGACTAAAGATAATAAGTGTAAGTTTATTGAGGACTTAAATAAATTTTGTGTTCATCATTCTGTTGTCATCGCTGCTTTTCTTGTAGGCGTCCTCTGCTTTGTCCGTGAAAACTTTAATGGCAAGATGGATGACGTACAAAAATGAATGCATCCAAAACAACAGCAGGGAACCACCGGTCACAGGTGAGCAGAGCCACTGAGCTGTGCATAGCTGCAGTGTGAGCGCTGTTCAGATCAAAGTCTCATTGCTGTTTGTATGAAGGACTGGTCATCAACTGCATGCAGCAACATATCACCCCACAGCCTTTATGGCCATGATGAAAGCACCCACTGATTAGAGCCAAGACAGAAGGTCTCAGGTCTTCTGAACCCTTAGAGGGTCTTCTTTAAACCTTCAAAGTCATTTGTTGCTGGCACTAAAAAAAGCATGGAGTGATTTGATATGAATTATTTCTCACTTGTCGCTCATTATAACAAGCAGTGTCGTTTTGTCACAGTCTGACTCGACCACAGGGTACAACAGAATTCTGTCCAATTCTGACGAAACCACATTATTAAGTTTTGAATCCCAAACTGACCTGGGTACAGCAAAATTCTGCCCAAAACTGCTCTGAACTTGCCCTGTGATGATAGCCACATTTAACTTAAATTGCCTTTAAAGGATAACTAATATTACAGCACAGCAGTTATAACAGTTCGAACATTATCATAATATAAAATATCATAATATAAAAAACAAAAATATATGATATAAAATAATATAATACCCTAAAATAGTCAACTGTCCAAAATTAAGTTTAAATTCCACTTTTGATCAACATCTCAAAGGTTTGTAGTTTGGCTAAACTTTCTATAATACACTATTTTATTCTTCACACATTCATTTTCTCACAAGTGTGGGTCCTTTGGGTCTAAATTCATGCCAGATGCCAAATGCCAGATCAAAAAAATATTTTAAGGAAATTAATATTGAGAGGAAGAATAAATAAAGAAAAACTAAAGCAGGAAATGCAGTTTAAAATCTGTTAAAAGTAGGAGGTGGGCTGTGAGAACCTCAACGTGAAATATGAACCTGGCCTGAGCCCGACATGTTTGGAAAAAATGATGCCCAAACCTAATCTCATGCCTGTAATTTAGCTTAATTTTGGCCAGATGATTATTGTAATGTATTATATTATGTCATTTTTTATTTTATTTATCTGTGATCTAATAATGTTATAACTGATGCTACACTATAATTTAAGCAATCCTTTTAAGCTAATTTAGGTTATTTGTGGGCCCAACCCAACCTGACCCAAGCCAGTGTAAGCAAGTATTTTAAGTTCTAGTTTGTAAGTAAAAGAGGAGATATTTTCTTCTGAATTAAATTTGATGCAAACTTTCTGTGTACAGTCTTGTTTTGCAGAAAGAATTTTTTTTTTTTTACATTTAACAAATTTTTGTCAACAAACAGAAAAAAGACGTAATGCAAACTTGAATCTGTTGATACAGAATGTATATTGAGTGTAAATGATATTTATTGCAGAAAGTTTTGTGTAATTAAACATATTTATTTCATTACATTTTAATAGTATAGCAAAACAAATGAATAACTTAAATGTAGGGCTAAAGGATACAGTTATGTTCATTAGGATATAAAGAAAAAATAGAAAACTGATTCTTGACCTGGGCGCAAGAGTCTTTGTTGGAGGTCCATTTAACTATAATGTGTAATAAAATTTCTATATTTATCCATTTGGAGTAAAACTGGAAAACATTTGTACAGTTTGGAGATTTCTGTGTTCTTTTACACCAAAACAAGTCATAATGCAGAAACAGAAGTAGTCTTACACACATGGAAGAGTAAACACTAACATCCCATTTGAATGGCAAAAGGCAATATCCGATCCGACTGAAAACAGATAACATGCCTGAAAATTGAAAACATTTCTTAATTTATTTCATTTATTTAGTCATTTGTACATATTCATTAGTTACTTGTTCATCTAATCTTTTCATCTACAATGTATTTTCCCAAGTATTTGAGCCACTCTTGGGGTCCTAACACCACAAGACCCATAATCCTGTCAATCAGAAGCCTCAATGGGTGCATCAGTAATCCACCCCTGGATACACCTCATGTAGAGAGAAAATAGTAATGTTGTTGCTTCGCTCTGGTTCAGTGGAGCAACCATGGAGGGGGAGGTATAATGGGGGATTTTTGATGTTGAAATATTTTCTGTTGTCTCTTCTGATCTGTGAATGGCTCTGTTGTCCAGGTCTTGTGTGTAATAGGACTTTTGATAAATACGCTTGCTGGCCAGATGGGTTGCCCAACACCACTGTGAGTGTGCCCTGCCCCTGGTACCTGCCCTGGCATAGAACAGGTGAGAATCCAAACCACATAGTGAGGGATGTAAAGGAAAATGAATGTGTGTGTGTGTGTGTGTGTGTTGGGGGGGCAGTGTCTTTGTACATTGTTCATCAAAAGATTGGGTACATCTACCTCTACCTATAAATATACAATAACTTAACATGTTATGAACAGTGTTGAACAGTGTTGGGGTAGTTTTTCACAAAATGGAATCCATCACAAATTTCTAATGACTCCTCTCAAACTGTAATGAGATTACATTACTTACTGGAAAAAGTAATCTCATTACTCATGACTTTATCAGCACAAACCTTTGCCAACTGGTAAGCAAGAGATAAAACCCAGTATTAATGTAGAAAGAAATAGCCAATTGTGATAAACATCAATTAAAAGATATGCATATGCATTTGAACATGACAGAGCCAGTAATCCTTGATTAAAAATGATGAACAGCTGTTGCTGTTTGGAAATTAAAATAGTCACATTGAAATTACATTTAATATTCAAATATAAAACATCTTAAAATATAAAGCTTTCAGAGCTGTTTTTGAATGAAAATTGAGTCTGGTCTGTTTAGTGGAGCTTAACGCTCTCAGTTCCTATTAGTTTCATATTAGTGTGATTAAATGCTTTGACAAATTGTTGAGGTCACAGCATGTCCTGTGCTACATAAATTCTACACAAAATCTGCTCTTGACACCAAGTGTGAAGTGTTGAAGCTAAATATACTCAATATATTAGCATAAAAGTACTAGCAGATACAAAACCTTGTTAAACAGTAAGTTTAAATTGCAAGACTGCAAGGTGTCCTGAGAATATGATGGACAGTGTGCACCTTGAGCAATTCTATGGTAGGATCATTAGCAAGTCCAAGGCCAAGTACACTGTGTAGCATACTTTTGAGAGAGCATATCAGGTCTATTGCTGCAGGTCTTTGGAGAAAATGTCGGAATTTGCATGTTGCCAGACATGAATGGCTAACGAAATACTTGGATTTCCCAAAACAACCATGGACATAAACTACTGTGGCTGTAGTTTAGTGCTGAGTGTGGAAAAATGCTGCTGTGGGATGGAGACTCCAGTCCTGGAGAGCCACATCTCTGCAAGGTTTAGCATGTTAAAGTGGAAAATATTGAGTAGTGTGGAGTAGGGAAATGCTGCTTTGGAGTATTCTGAATGTTTATGCAGCTCAGCTAATAAACTGTTGTTCAGTTTCATAGATAGCATTTTCTGATACGTAGTGGAGAATCCGTACAGAGTGTAGCCATAAAATCGCGTGTGTGCATGTTTATTACAGTTCAGCATGGCTTGGTATATCTGGAGTGTGATGCAGATGGCCAGTGGGCCAAGAAGAAGAACACTAGTGAGTGTGAACCAAATGACCCAGACCAGAGGGATACGGTATGTCTGAGAATTGTTTGATTGGTGGGTACAGATGATATAATAAAACTAGAGCTGGGCGAATGTAACGAACAATGACCGACTGCATGTTTCAGAATAAAAAGAGCATAATTAGTTCTGTTTAGTTAGATTGAGAGTGGTGCAGAATGTAAAATGTTGAATACAGATCATTCATGGTTTTTGCAGTATTTTTTCAGTATTTTTTTGTTCCAACTTACCAGATGTCAGAGAAACTAAGTATCATAGCATTTTGTATATCGTAAAAAGTTCTTGAGGTATTGTGATATTATATTTTTGTTGTATCACCCACTCTAAGTAAAACACAGAATCAAAGCTCTGATGGACATACTAGAGAAAACAGTGTTGTAAAATGTTCTTTCATGCTTGTATGTCTACAGCAGCACTATGGAAGGATCCTCAGTAAGTTCAGGGCCATGTACACTGTGGGTTACTCTCTCTCCCTTGGAGCGCTGGTGCTGGCACTGGGCATCTTGGTGGCCTTCAGGTAACAGTCACACTCTGACACTCAGTCTGACTACTGGTGGTGGACTTTGGGCCATATAATCATGACTTCTGAAACAGTCCCATACACTCTCAGAAAAAAATAACAAAGCTGTCACTGGGACAGTACCCCTCTTGTCACTAGGGTAGTACCCTCAAGGGTACATCTCAGTACTTTTGATCAGGGAACATTAATTGTACCATAATCCATTGACATGATATATATTGACTTCTTACACCCCATCTCATCTCCAGGCTTTTTATTTTAGTGTTCTGTTTTAAAATATTAGGTTATGAAAAGGTACAAGTATGTATTTATTTCCATTGGAAAAAACTTATTTAAGGTACACAATTGGGCCTAAAAACCACTGTTGTACCTTTGAGAAAACATTTACATTGTTTGTATCTTGAGGAACAAGAAATGTACCTTCACAGTATCTTTATTTCTAACAGTGTAGTAGAGCTGATAAATACCTTGCATGCTTTTAGTAAAGTAAACAAGGTTGAGTATGATAGTTTGGTAGTTGATGGTCTATTTGGCACTGTATCAAACATTGCTGCTGCAACTGCTTTTCAGAAACTGGCATTGTTCCAAATTAAACCAGTAGTTAGACTGCTACTCAAGAAACATAATCTATTTGACCAAAAGGGGTCACAAAAGTTGGTGTAGGTAATCTGAGACTAAATGCTGATGAGAATAACATTTCAGTCCTTGTTTTATTAGATGCTGCATTTGACACCATAGAAAGTAATATAGCGCTAAATGGACTTGAAAAGAATATTCTCTAGTACTATTTTCAATTGATTTATGACATATTTAACTGAAAGATAAAACATTTTTAGTCTTGGTAACAGTGCTTTTCTTAGGCATGACATTCTATGTGGTGTACCCCAAGGATCTGCTCTTGGTTCCCTCTTATTTACAGCCAGTGCTATATAATCAGCGAACATGGGTCAACTTCCTTAGTTATTCAGTTAAAATACAATTATATGTATCTGGGCACTGTTGGGTACCTCTAATATTGTTTGACCTAGAACTGGTCTTTAAGCATTATTTTTAGGGGGGTTTATATGAAATGATATAGGATGGATTTCCTGAAATTATATAAAGAAGACGCTAAGATTATGGGTTCAAGCACAGAAAAAGAGAAAGTAGTTTGTGCACAAGGAAGTTTGGCTCCTCAAATGAAGCCTTAAGTCACTTTGATAATTTCACCAACGTAATGTAAGATAAAAATATATTTTTTATTAGAAACATTGCCAAAATTAGATCATACCTTTCAATGCATAGCACTAGGAAGCTGACTTAGGCTTTTATTTTCTCTTGCACTGACTATTGTTACACACTATTAACTGGGAGCTTAAAATAACAAAGACAGACTACAACTTGCACAGAATGCAGAAGACAGATTGCTTACAAAAACAAAAAGAGAGAACATATTACACCTGTTCTAACAGCTGTTCACTGACTTTTTGAGGATTTTTTTATCATAAACTTGTTTTGAAAGCAAGTAATGGCAAAGCTAATGGCTATGTTGTTTTGTAGTTTCACCTTCAGTTTTATTTTGGATTGTTTATTTGCTCTTAGTAATCTGTAATCAATGAGTAATACTCCCCATGTTATATCTTTACTCAAGTTTCTTCTCTCTTAGACCGTTTTGTTAGCTGTTAATTGTCTCCGAGTCACAAGTGTTCACTAGCATTTGTTCGTTGTTGCTTTCATACTTGTAGGAAGCTGCACTGCATGAGGAACAACATTCACATGAACCTGTTTGCGTCCTTCATCCTGCGAGCCTCGTCTATTCTCATCAAAGACGCCTTGCTGGAGAGGCCAAGTTTCAACATTGACCCTGGCATCACCACGGACCTGGAGATGGAGTGGCTCGTCAAGAACGAGGTCAGAACCCAGATGTTTTTTCTATTGCACATTTTAGTATAATGTTTTCCAGCACCAGTCCAAGAATGTTCTGCAGAATTTGAAGCTTTACTTTCACTTAACTTGCTGTGCTGTGTTGAGACTGAAGAAACCTGTGAAAGGCTTGGCAATTATCTTACAAACTGGTCAAATTGGTTGAGCTTGAGTCCTGAGCTGTGCAGAATCAGGCATATCTCTGCAGTCTGAGACAGGGACTTGAGTAAAACTGCTATAAATTATAGGTTTAGATATATTATTAGAATTGTTGTAGTGGTTTAAGGTCAGCAGTCAAAGAACTTGGCTTCTCTCTCTTAAAAATGAAGCTTCCTAAATGGTTCTCAGCAGGGCTTAATTTGTAAATGATGAGGTCTCAGAACACTGAGTAGTGATGAATGGGGCAGGTCGAAGGGGTGGGGAATGGTCCTGGGGTAAAAAAAAGTGCATCAGCATAAGCATCTTCAATAACATTAGACCATACAAGTAACATATTAACAAGGCTTTTAAGCATCAAACATTCTCTTCTCCTCTTTTGTGGGTTTCCCAGGCCTAAACAACAGCTTCTGCATGAGTAGTTAATAAATCTGTGTCACAATCCAGTGGCGGCAGTATAATCGGGCCCAGTTGGCCTACGCTCTCAGAAATAAAGGTACTAAACTGTCACTGGGGCAGTACACCTCTTGTCACTGGGGTGGTACCCTCAAAGGTACATCTCAGTACCTTTAGTCAGGGAACATAATTGTACCATAATCCATTAAAATTATATTTTCTAAGTTGTACTGACTCTACACACCAATGTAACAACAATGTAAGCCTAGTCACTTTTGTCATTAGCCCATCCAAATAAAAGTCTCATTAATAAAAACCGAACAAATAAAAATAAACTCACAAAATATGTACACTACTGTACACCACTATATGTACCTACTACAAATTCTATTTTTGATATTGACCAATCAAAATTCCAGTTTAACTAGTAACCAAAGCTAGGAGACGTTTGCTAAGCATTTCAGAGTAGGACAACAGCACATCACAGAAAAAAATCTCTTTCAAGACCATCAAAAACACACATGGACTGGAAGCATGAATACAGCTCTTTTAAGGGATGAACAATCAGAGAAGTAGTGTGAGTGATAAACAACATCAGTACCATTTCTATCACTGCACCCCCAAGCAGGAGTTGAAAATGAAAGTGCATACATGTCATAGCATGAGGTGACACAGCATGCTACTTTAGACTTAATTTGTACACATTTTGTTATATATATATATATATATATATATATATATATATCAGTTTGTTTGTAAAACATATCATATTTTTATTTTATATATCTGGCTTGTTTAAGAATAAATTAGGCCCTGGTTCTCACCTTGCATGTACAGTTTTAGGAAAGTTTTTTATGTAACCTTTATATAACACAAAGGTTTCATTTACAAAAATTGTTCTTTTTTCTACCGCCCATTGGAAGATTCTTTAGAGACTTTTCCTTTGTGACATCTCTTCAAAGAACCCTTTTTGACTCTTTTTAAGAGTGTATGGTCATGAGTTAATGAGTTTATCTACTATTGATCTACTGAAGACTCATGGATTTTCTGCTTTTTATCATATTGCTATACTATCTTGTCAGCAGTTGAGTAAAAAGTGGTAAAAAGGGTCGCATCATGTCCACTGTAAATAAGGTTTTATGTATAAAGCAGCTTGATATCGCTTAACATGTTAGGTTTTGCAGACTGCCGTCGGCTGCAGGATAGCCATGGTGATGATGCAGTACAGTATCATTGCTAACAGCTACTGGCTGCTGGTGGAAGGCATTTACCTGCACAACCTGCTGGCAGTGACGGTTCTGACTGAGGGGAACTACTTGAGCGTCTACCTGTGCATAGGCTGGGGTGAGGACTCAGCATCTATCTGTGCATAGGCTGGGAGCTTTCACTTCTCCTACCTGGAAAATTCAACACCATTCATTTTATGTCTGTGAATACACCTGTGAAAAAGTCAGAGACCACCCTTTTATTTGTTAAATTTCCAGTCAAAACATCCATTAAGTACAAGTTGTTTATTTTTCAGGAGAGCTTTGTCTCTTACTGAGAAAAAGAAATAGACAAAGATTTCACAAATCAGACGAAGAAGCTGCTCTCTGACCACCCCAGAGTCCAGACCTTAACCTCACTGAATGTATTTGGGTTTACTTGAATTGTGAGAACTAGAAGATGCAACTTGAACTTCGGAGGTGTGGAAAAATATCCGTGCAGGTCCTTGCAAGTCTCCTGGAAAGAAGTATACAGTAATACACGAGAGGGAGTGCTATACTGTGAGATATTGCCATTGGAGTGCTGCAGTTGCAGGCTTTAAGGCTGAATACAAAGATCAGCACCTCATGGTGTTGCATGACCTTAAGTGCATTATAGCGATTAACCCACAGTTTCACTATTGATATGTATTGTGAGATTTCGAGACAATGATGACACAGAAACCAATTATCAAGAAAGTTTATTTACACTATTATTATTACACTATTATTTTTTTTTTTACTATTAAAAATAACTTTAGCCTATATGCAACCATTGCTGCATATAAATGCTGCTAAATTAAGTTTTGCATCATGTCACAAAATTTTTAGATGTCTACACAGGAAACGAGACTTGAACTTGCTATGGGTAACACTTCTGTAACACATTTAAATGTAATTTTTGTCGCTGACTTCAAATAAAAAAAAACATCACCTGAAACTTCCAAGTTTCCCTGTTAAGTGTCCCCTTTCAACTGGGTCATACAGATCTTTTCTCCACGTCATTGATGAGTTTCTCCTCGTCCATTTTTGGCTAGAATAAAATGGTAGAATGCATTTTGTCTGCATGGGCTCTTTTGTCCTCCTATTTCAGTCTAAGTCAGACATTTTTAGCAGCAGTTATTCAGTAGCCTATACGTCTCATACCCTTTACCTCACAAAATATCTGGAAAGAACCAGCAAATGGTTTACAAAGTACAACCCAGAACAGAGTAAAACAATAACGGTAAAATAGGATGGGTCAGACAGTACAGACTGCTTTTCTCATAGAAAAACACTGTTAATATTATTTGTATAACCTGTCATCCAGGACAACATGCTTATTGATTAATAAATAAATAATACTCAATTTACATTCATTGTTTCTGACATTTCTCATTTTTCAGTTTTTCTCTTTTGTGGTATAAGAAAGCATGTACAATTCAAATGTTTAAAATGACCTCTAGTAGTTGTGGAATTCCAGCCTTTAAATGTCTTAAAAAGCTTTGGTCAGATTTACATTATTGACAGATACTTGCACTCATAGACGTCCTCTCAGCCAATCACGTTGAGTTCACTGCTGTTCAGTGGAAGCTCTAATAAAGTCAAAGTGTGGACAAACTAAATAGTGGAAAAATTGATATTATACCTAGTTATATATCTAGTTCTGTGTAATTCTCTGTTTAATCTATGTTTTATGCTTTTTTCCTGTGGCTGAAAAATGAATAACTTGTGCTTAATGGCTGTTCTGACTGGAAATTAAGGGTTCTCTTTACTACATATGAACTTACTATGCATTTTATCAAGTTCAGTTAACTTTCCCTGCATATACTGGTAGATTATTTTATTAGTTTATTTATTTCCATCTTGTGTGATGTGAAACGGTGTTTTTGCGGTTTCTGTTGTCTCATTCATTCACATTCTTTCTCTTTCCAACAGGAGCGCCACTGATCTTTGTGTTGCCCTGGATCATCGTGAAATACCTCTATGAGAATGAGGAGTAAGTTGCTCAGTGCATAACAAGCAAGGATTGTTGTAACATGGCAGTGTGAATGTCACCAATTACTCAAATGCTTTTTGTGCTTTCTGCATGCTTTCTGGCTAAAATAACATTTGCGAGGTCTAAAGTTGCGAGCATGATGACATATCACAGTCAGAGTTGTTGAGAGAGAGACGCCGAACATGTTTAATACAATATCCGGCGTGTTTTCGTTCCTAGTAGCAGACGAAAGGCAGAGGGTGATTACTCTGTCTCTTGAGCATCTGTTGTATAACAAATCAAGTACATAAGAGACAAACATGGAATGAGAATGCGAGGTTCTCTACTGCAACCATGCTGCCAAAAACAGTGATGCTACGCAGATGAGCTGCTTTCCTTTGAAGTGGTAGCTGGGAAAAAATGTGTCGTGTTCTCGCTTCTTACAATAGCAACTCAGACATGGCGGTATGTTTTCTTCTAGCCATGCAGTAGCCTATGCTCTACGCTGTGTGGATGCAGCCCTGCCTTGCAATGCATAGATCACATGGTCTCTGTTACTTCTTGGATGGTTTTCAAGAAGTAAATTACACTCGATGGCCACACTCTCTGCCTACTTAGTAGTATTATAAATAAGGATAAGTTTCAGGTATTTTATGATGTAATATGCCAGAGGTACACTGCTCTGATTAATGGCACTGATGAATGGCAGCATTCTTCATATGGACACTGTTTCCTTTAAGAGCATTCTGTGATTTATAGCAGGCCACTCTAAAAGATCATAATTCCTTTACTCTATCAGTCACCAAAAAAAGGAACAAAAAAAAAAACAGGTTTTTAAAATATCTGTACAATATAAGCAAGCATGGGAGCAGTTCCAGGGTTTGGGTTTGGGGATGTGGAAGAGATTATTTTGGAAAAATAACACGAAGCAGGCTACAGCACTGTATTAAAATACACTAAATCAGAAGCTTTACCCTTTTACATGACATTAAGGGTAGAATATGTACAGTTGTATGCAAAAATTCAGGTGTCTATGGCCAAATTATTTTTAAATGCACTGTTTATGTTTATTTGCTGAATTTAACATATTAAAAAAAGAACATAAAATACGATCTGTGCAAATTAGGATGTAAAGGATGCGTTCATTTATTTTTAATTAGAAAATCAGCAAAGCATCATTTCACCGAGGGCTCCCAAAGTTTTACACACAACAATACGTGCACTTTTCCTTACTGTCAGTAAGGCATATAGTAGGCATGCACAAAACATCAGTGGACAGTATATTATGTAATATAATTGTTTTTATGGAGCCAATACTAGAATAAGAGGCGATAATACATGCATAGGTCATTTCCTTTCATTTAAACTTATAAAGACAGTTCAATAGATTTGTTTGGTCCTGAATGTATTTATTTGTTATATTGTCTTATCATAGTATGTTATATTGTATTATCATGATTTTCCAGATTAAAATGAACAAGATCTTAAATATATATCATTCATTACAATATAGTCTGCTAGTTTGGACCATGCTTCCAGCATATGGTTGTAATATGAGAAGAGACTGTATGGCTGTAGGGGAGAGAGAGCTCAGCGACTTCTGCTTTGAGCTAGAAGGACAGACTCCAACCTTTTTGATGAACAGACGTAGGACTGGTAGTGGGTTGGGAAAACTTAGTGGGAAACAAAAGGTAGAGATGGAAATTTAAAGGGCTTTAGATTGCAGGAGGAGTAGGTTTAGGCATTGTCCTCCTCTCAAACATTCACGGCATTTGATAACTCTGAGCCTCAAGTTGGAAATGATTGTGGATTGCATAGTAGATAATACCACAGCTATACAAAAATCAGACTGTTTAGGTAAGACCTCTAACAGCCAGTTTGTGCCAGAAGAATTTCTGAGGCATTTTTAGTTGCCTGATGGAACAGATACACCTCCATTGTAATTAGTATTTCAATCCACACTGCTAGACGTGTCTTAATTCTGTCAAAATGCAAGCCCTCCCAACTTGCCTTGTTTTTTTATTTGCATGCATGAGTGAAGTGTAAACTGCATAGAGAACCAGTCAAAACACACACTCACACTTTCTAAACTATATTTAAAATAATAATTTACTAAACTGTGAAGATCCTGTTACCCTGATAGTTGACCAGCAGCTCCTGTGCTGTACTAATGGTGTGTGGAAGCTTATCTGACAAGAACAGTGGAAAAAACAAATCTGCTGTCTGTGCTATCAAGTTTGAAAATTGCTATGAAACTATTCTAATTTTCTAAAAAGAAAAGGACAAAAAGAGCGAACGTTCCCACCTGAAGTGTTTAAGAGATGTAGATGAGTCTCAGGTAGTGTGTATACACTACGCTATGCTAACATGAAGCTAACCTGTCGCATCTGGTGTGAATTCGGTGTAATGCTACATTCACTTACAATTAGCAGTTCTGAATAACAGTGTCTGCTTAATAATGTTAAATATTTTTATAAAAAAATTTTTTACAATAAATGTCACAGTTAAGTAAAAATAATCAGCAACTGTATTATGGATTATAGTGTAAACTTGTGAATTAATTTCCAGTTAAAATTATCGGTATGAATTAATGAGGTATGAATTACTGGTTACTATTATCGGCCCAGAAATTCTGTATGGGCGCTTCCAGAATATACATTGTCAGTATGATACCTCTCACTCCTTAAGTGCTAAAGTGAGTTTTATCCATCTCTATCAAATAAAAGAGGACTGGAGCCAGCCAGCTTAATGCTATTCTGGAACACCTTCAGCTGTTATGTAAGGGCTGTAAATGGCATGCTGCATTCCCTCTGCCATGGGTAACCCATTGCCCGTATCTGCTCTCCTGCCGCAACTACAGCACATATCCCAGGACAAGCTCCCCTCCTCTATTAGTCTAACTGTCTGCTCTCAGGACTTCTGCTTTGATAAAACATCCATTTATCCCTCTGGATGAGCCTGGCCTCGGCTTCTCTCCTCTGTGGCCTTCAGCCGTAGACTGGCTCTCTCTAGAAAACTTATCTATACAGCCATGCGCTTTCAGTCTTGCAAAGAAAACACTACTGATCTAGTGTGTGTAAAAGACAGTCTAAATGGCCTCCATATGTGGTGCACTACATGGAGCAAGGGCTAATGCCTTTTAAACCTTGTGCCATCTTCATGCCCCAGTAGAGTTGGATGATTTAGAGGCAGTAAAAAAAACTGGAACTGTAAATGTTGTGGTCAGATACTATGTGTAGCACTGTGTTCAGGTAATCTCTCAACTCCTGTCTGTCCCCAGGTGCTGGGAGCAGAACATAAACATGGAGTACTGGTGGATTATCCGTTCCCCCATACTGCTGGCAGTGCTGGTGAGAGCCTCTCTGCTTCTTTCAACTTCTATTTTAATCACATGCTCTCCTTCAGCTTCCTGTATGGATCACACTGATCTCTGTCTGGGCCAGTGGATAAAGCCACTTTATCCTCACCCTTAAACACCTCTCTTAGCAGAGCTCTGACTCCATTCCTGTCTCTGTGATTTTGATGTCCTTTCTCTTAATGTGTCCTCTCCTGTCCTTACTTATGCTATATTTAAATGTAATTTTATATAATTATAAATAACATAAATCCTGACAAAAAAAAGACAAAAAGTACTGTGCATAAGGGTACATGCTTTTGTTGTCACTGGCGATAACTGTGACTTCTAAGGGTTAAGTGAAATATTTCTAACAGGTCTTTTTTGGCATTGTTAACAGTGCCACACCTGTTGTATGCAAGTTTGAACACCCCCAGTCAAATTAAATTTTTGTTGATTTTCTAAGTGAATTAGTGATTAGTTAACACATTATCTACAGTGAACAAACTTAAATATGCCATTTTTCTGCAATTTTTAGTGACTATTTATTTTCAGCATATAGGGGAAAAAAACACAACATCTTTAATATCAGTTGTATTAAATGGCACATTTTATGTTTTATTTTTATGCAGTATGTAAAATTCAGCAAATAAACAGTAACTGTGCATTAAAATGTACAGAAGTGTGTTCTCTGTAGAAGATGTGTGAATTTCAACAAAACATAATTTGACTAGGGGCACCCAAACTTTTGCATGCAACTGTATGTAGTTCTTGCAATGCTTTAAAACATGGGTCTTAATTACCAGGTTGCAGGACAACTTTCTTCTTACATCTGGTCTGTCAAACATTTACAATTCATATCATTGTTTATTTTTTTTCTGTGGCTAAATATTTACATTGTATATGATAGCTCACATTTAGCTCAGCTGAAGCAGTCTCACTGCAAACTCCTGTGATGTCTTACAGCTCAGTTAGTGGAAGATAATTTTCTTATATAGCTTTAATTCTGGGAATATACTCCAGAGAATTACATTTAGAGACTATGACTAGTAACCTAACATTTGCTATAAAAACAGTTTAGGGTGGTGCTTACATTGTTTAAAGCAAAAACAGAGCACTACATGTAAGATGGACCATTCAAACAAAGACTTGAGCATATAGCTCTCTTTGTTATAACTAACTTAGCTACTATCCTAATTTATACTGTAAACTAGCCAAATCTGTATGTGTGGATTCATTCAGAATTAAGAAAGGAGTGGAGTTAAATGAACCCACTGAGATTGCAGATTCATTCACTGTCCTCTGACAACACAGAATACAATTGCATAGTACAGTGGAAAACAACTCCGGTTTAACCGAAACAAAGGTGCTATCACAATAACATATAACATATATTCCATATAATTCTGCAGTTTAACATACGTTTACATGCTTTAATTGAATACTAAGCACATCTATTAAATACTATGTATTTATACTACAGCTACAACTACTAGAACTACCACAATTAGTTATTCTTCTTTTTCTTCTTCTTCTTCTTCTTCTTCTTTCTCTTATTAATATTATTATTATGAATTTTATTATTATTATTATCATTGCATTATTAATATATTAGTGGATTGTGGTGACAGAAGACTGCTAATAAACAAGACGCATTTCAATGAGTATATGTAATTAAACTTGGGACACTTGCATTTTTTCAACTTACCCCCCTTAGAGAAGAACACCTGGCTAGTGGCCCCTAAGTTTGAGAGCCCTGCTTGAACACCATCCAGTATTAAAGTGATCTCCATTATCTGAACCAATACCTGTTCTCAGGAAATCTTAACGCTGTCATTTTTAATGGATTTTTATTCCTCAATGGACAGGATTTCTAGGAATTGTCCCTAAACCATGTTCCATCATAATTACTGCTCACTCTTGTTGCTCACTACATTATAGATAATGACCGCTCTCACATTAGAGCCGGTTTTGGTTCTGAATGATAATGGGTTGGAGCAGCATTTGGCAAAAACATTTCGTTCTCTTTCACACACAGCTGCTCCGATCTGAAATGCCCGCTATCTGACAGAAATGACTGCGTTTGAGCGTTTGCAGTGTCAGAGATGTTTTGGTTCCTGGCTGTTTCAAACATTATTAAATGAAACACCACTGACTTTCCCCTCTTGCTTCATGCCTCTGCAACTGAACATTTGATCCCTGGACTGTTGCTACATGCTGTGAGGAGACAGACTGCACAGTTGTATCATCTTTAATGTGGCATTATAGTGCTAAACAACCCATGGAGATGTTCAACCTTGATTCTGCTTTGTTCTCTGCTCAGATCAACTTCTTCATATTCATCCACATCATTAAAATCCTGGTGTCAAAACTGAGGGCTCACCAAATGAGATATTCCGACTACAAGTTCCGGTGGGTGTTCTCATGCACTGAAACAATGGACTTATCCATGCCCCATTCTTTTGTAGCAACTGTTGTGAGGTTGGATAAACTTGGCAAACATCTCATTGAACCTTATGAAAGGTTCTAATGCTTCCCTCAGTTTTGGGCTGAATATCAGAATTTAGAGGCTGTTTTTAACTTCAAATAAAATATATTATGTGTGTGAAAGGTCACATTAGGATAGATTGGATGCAGTCACATCATGTAATCAAGCTATTGTTGTTGTTTCCAACCTGCCTCCTTTTGATTTGTTACAACCAGAGGCAGAATTTCATTTTAGGAGGGCCTGATTACAGGTTGGAGGGCCAGCTAGCAAGAGCATTATGTTCCAGAAAAATAGCTGTAGTGAGGATAACAACTACCAACTAACCTACTTCACTATAGCTTCCACAACCAGCAACAAATTATAAACACAGCAAAGATTGTTGACCTCACATTTATGTGCCTGGTTACTGTAATAACTGGCATCATACTGGGGTGAATGGCTGAAAACTGCAATTATTTTCATCCTTTTTTCATAGTATTTAAATAATTTTCTTTAGTGTGGTCAGCTTTACTACTTACGGACCTTGCTGACTAGGTGAGTAGTAGCAGAGACCATAGGAGAAGGAGACTGGTCACTGGTTGGAAAATGATTGGGAAATGTAGCGCTGAACACGGTTTCTGTTTCCGGAGAAAGTCCTGCCCTTCAATAAAAACAGCTGGTTAAGCTGCTAGTGGGAAAAGCTCCCCCTCATTTTGGAGGTATGCTACAAACTATATATGCTGTTTTTGTCAGACGTTGATGTTGCTCTTAGTTTGAGGTTGATAGGCCTCTCCCCATTCAAAGAGATAGGAGCCTGGCTTTTTATAACTGAAAATAACTGCCCAGGGGAGTTGCAGCCATGGCCGTCAAGTGGACTGACTTTCAGACTTTGGTAGTAGCCTTAGCTAGGAACTAGCACAACTCAGCTACGTTCATACTATCTGCAGAAACGGTCCAGCAGGCTAGCACATGCGTGCAACAAAAAGTGCTTAATTGCAGAATTGGTGTACTGCCATGGTGAAAGCGGATGGTGATTGAAGAGCTTTGGAGGTCACTTTTATTTGTTTAGGGTGGAAAAACAGCACAATGATGCAAGAACTCAGCACCTTTGGTTTCATTCTTTATTATAAAAGCTCAAGACTAATTATATTTTGTAACATTTTTTATGTCACTGGAAGAGATTTTTTTGAAGCAGTTAGAAATCTAGGCCCCCCCAGGCCCCCCCATAGCTATGCCCCTGGCTACAAGAACACAGTCCAGCTTGGTAGTGTAACCAGAATTATAAACCACATTATGTAGCAACTCAAATACTGTAGAAACAAATACTGTAGTGGTTTAATGTGAATAATTCACATAGTTGTGTGCTACAGTTTCTTATTTGGTTAAATGAGATTTTTGCCAGTGTTTTGTAAAGCTTTTCCAACCGAGCAACAGTAGCTATGATAGAGTGTCTTTGTGACCATAGATAGGTCAATTGGGCACAAATATATTTGCAACAATGTATTTCTATCCAGTTTTCATTGTTCTGTCTCATCCCTCTTGTCTTTTTTTTTGCAGGCTTGCCAAGTCCACTCTCACTCTGATCCCTCTGCTTGGCATTCATCAGGTCCTGTTTTCATTCGTCACTGATGAGTCTACCTCAAACGGCGCTGTATCCCTGCGCCTCACCAAACTCTTCATTGACCTCTTCTTTAATTCCTTCCAGGTCAGTCTGGAAGACCCTAAAGGCTTCTGGGATGTAGGGAGTAAATAGGGGAAGAAGTCTCAACAATGACCATTTACTGTAAAGATAAATAATATAAAAGCATAGATCACTATTGTCCAATTATTAAAAACTAGAGTATCTGACCACAAACATTTTCTAGGGGAATAAATCCCAGGGGTGCAGCAGTCTAGATTAATTAACTTGAATTAATTAGACCAAAATTAGATGTGAACCCATCATTTGATCAGGACAGAAAATAAGAACAGAGCCTTCTTGCCCTGGGGGCTTATTCCCCCCAAGTTACTCTACACATATTAACACCTCTATACTACTACAGATATTCAGGAGCTCGGAAGACACTAATATGTATGTTATGGAGTTATAAGAGTGAGGAATCTAAATGCAAACCCACATACAGAACCTTGCAGTTTTATGTTTAATATTTTAATATTTTAATTTTAGAACTTATTTTCACTTAGAAAATCACCAAAACATGATATTTGTCAGGGTCTCCCAAACTTTGGCACACAACTTCTGCTAGAAATTAAGAATGTTTTCCTTCTTCTGTTAAGTTGAAAAAACATGTGAGGTTTTGTTGCAACAGCTTGTTATATATTCTAAGCCTCGTTATTGCACAGTAACTACATGGATTGCAAACTGACTGAGTTATTTTTAAGTTATAGAAGTGTGTAATAAAAGTAGTCAGGGCCATTTATATAAACACTTTATAATATACATAATTATAACACTTTGTAATAACAGGCCCTAATAAACAGCAACATATTAAATGTCTAATAGTTTGTTAATTACTGTTAATGATTATATAATTGTTACATATGCATCACTAAATGGTATCATTCAAATTAGTAGCCATTTATTAAGTGACATACAATAAATAGCACATCTGAAGTGTTGAAACCTAATAATTTATTATAGTTTATTAATAATGACTTAGCTATTTGATGCTCATAACTCATAAGTTATATAACTGAGCGTTGATAATAGTATATAATCCTAAGCGTTTCGTGGATAACTAAGCATCCATAATACTATATATAATGCTTAGCATTTATATATTATATAACACTAAGCATTAACTTAGCTGCATAAAAACAGTTAATAAAAATGATTAATTAATTGTTTACACAGTTTTGAATGATTAAGTAGTTATTTCTTGCCACTTTGTGGTGCAAACACTTGACTTAATGTCCAGGGGTTTATATATACTCTTTTAAAACATTAGCAATCATTAATTAGGCCCCTATTACAAAGTTGTGACTGCTTGATGTATTTTAAAAGATATATTGTATTACAAAATTACAAATATTACATTTTGGAAATAACATTTACAGTGCTTTAATTACTTTTATGTCGCTAACTAAATGGTTAATAATTCAGATGGTAGCACTTATAAATGCACAAATAACAATTATATGATAATTATTTATGTATTTATTAATGGTTAAGTTGCTATTTATAAGGCCCTTATTATAAAGTGTTACCAAAAGCAATATAGAGCTACACAATAAATACAAAGCATTGTGCTAACAGGCACACTGTAAGCACTGCTGAAAGATTTAAAGCTCTAATCATATAAATGAATCACAAACACATGAATCAGTGGCATGTTCATGTTCAAATGCCTCTTCCTCCAGAAGCAGTTAGAGCAGCTCAGTTGCCAGCACCTCCAGATAAAGAATAAAGAACGGATGTGTCACTATTTTTATTTTCGCAAATAATTCCAGTAAAAGAGCAGACATCGCGATCTCGCTGACTCATTCCATGACAAACTGATAGTGACACTCACATGGAGCACAGCTGCAGCACGTCAAGCTCACATCACTGAGTAAGAGGAATTGTCCTGATGAAGCTTCGCTCGCCTAACAAATCAGAGGGAGAGAGGAGCGGGGAGAATTAGCGAGGGAGGGAGAAAGAGAGGGAGAGCAACATGGAGAGGGAGAAAGAGTGAGAGAGATGTCAGAAAAATGAATCATTTGGACTGTTAAGGGTCCATCTGTGCACACTTAGCTCCCTCATCATGGTTCGAGTCGTTCAGCTTGCATGCACAGGAACGTGCCCAGTGTTTGACTCTTCACAAATTCACATATCTACCAGCTTCACCTTTTGAACTCAAAACAAAATATTAACCGTCTGTTTTGTTAGCTGTATTTGTCAAAACAGTCATCAACACACACTTCATAACTCTCATCTGCTGAGCTTGACAGTGCTAAGTGACAGTGCAGGTTTGTCGTTCCTCAGCTGTCCTAGCCTGAGTTGGTGCAGTGTTTAGCTGTTGTTTGGCAGTGACTCTAACATAGCTCTGAGAATGGGTCACAAGTGATGACAACTGATTCACATTCTGATGTGTTCACAGGGGCTGCTTGTGGCCATCTTGTACTGCTTGGTCAACAAAGAGGTGAGTCTAGCTTTCTTTAACATCAGTGTTTATGCGGGTAAAGAATCTTCGGGGAAGTATGCACATCTGGGATCAGCTCTACTGTATATACAGCTATGCTGAGCACAATACAGGTGTAAAGTTGTTTAGCTTTGAGCCATTGTATTCTTTTACTGTACTGTATTGTATGATTTTGTCTCCTAAATTCTGGGTGATGCATTGCATGTTTAAAGGGAGTAACAAGAACAGTAACAAAAGGGTAGCAGTTTAAAGGAAGCAGAAATAAAGATAACAGTAAACAATATTTAGCACGCTGTTGTGGCTCATACTGATACAAATAGGCTTTTTAAAAATTTTAAAACAAGTTCACATCTTATGACTGTTCGTACACTAGTCATACTATCCATTTTATGAGGTAAGTGAGCGTATGTCAGGTTAAATCTGTAAAGACGAGTAAAACAGACCTGACAGCTGTTGTAAACAATTACACATTTAGCAGATGCTCACAATAGCAGGCGAATACAGCATTGCCTAAGCACTCTTATTTAGACAGCAACTCATCAAATTTTCAAGGAGACACAATGTGTCTAAAACGAAACACAAAGATTTTGTGACAGTGGTCATAGGAGGGTGTTGCGACAGTTTGGGTTTATTTACAGCACTGCATCAGTGTCTTAAAAAATTCCTTTTCTTACATCACCAACTGGAGATAATATAATCATATACTAATAAACCGTATAAGTACTATGAAAAAATATGTAAAGTTTATGAAATCGACAGCTACATACCTGTACACTGTTGTTAAAAAAAAAGCATACTGAAAATGTTGTATTTTTTCTTACACATTTAACAACATTGCTAAAGGTGATTATAAATACCTCAAGGGCAATCTAGACGTTTCATGAATCTCTAAGACTTACATTAGCCATATATGATGTGCTTACTTATGTTGAATCAACATTAGTAATAGTACTTTCCATTTTTTGTACCAGAAAACTGAGCCCAGAAGAAACAGGAGCCCATAATAATTATATTATTATAATTATTATAATTATAATTATTAATTATTATTATTATTATTATTATAATTATTGTAATTATTATAATAAAGACTAGTTTTAGATAGGAAACGTTTTAGATACAGTGCCTACAGCAACGCATCTTGCAATCTGTCATCCCTCCAGAGGACCCCACCATGTCAATGTTCAGAGTTTTCACTTGGTCATGGTCTGTAAGAACAACAAGTGTTTACCTCTGTATTCAAACAAGAGATTGACCTTGATATTCAAATGAGGATGCCAACAAAAACACAAACAAACAAACAAACAAAAAAACAGCAAAAATGAGGAAGATTGTTTCACCCAGTTTATTGTAGGTAAGTGTGGATTTTCGAGATATACTGAAGCTGTTAATAGAAAGGAAATTTCTATTACAGTTCAACAGATTTTTAGCATTTTTGAGTTTTAGCCTCATAAATCAATAGTACAACATACCCTCTGTTTTCACACTGTTATTTCTGATCTACAGCTGGATAAATGAGAATGTTTATAGAGAATTTAGTGTGTAATAGAATTAAGTTGTAATAATGTATCTGTCCCATACTAGTAAAACAGTTATTTAATCAATTAATTAATTGAGGAGCAACAAACATTACAGATTTAGCCAGTTGCATACAGTTGCTTATATTTATCTTCACAGCTTGCTGCATGCTAGATACAACAGCATGGCGAAAGTAAGAGTTAGATTTATAGAGCTATAAATAAATAAAAGGCTTATGCTCGTGGAATGTAGTGGTATCTGTGCGATCTAGGAGCATGACAGAACACCATTGCTCTGACGTTCCAAAAAGCCACTCCTTGCTCCAGGCAAAATCTGCTGCTCTGCTCCCGCTCCACACCACTCACATACCCTGGTTTATTATTATTAACCATCTGATCCTTGCTCTCTCTTATGTGTACGGTGGTAACAGCTTTTTTGGCTTTATCTCAGAACAGTTTTCCTTTTGACCTTTTGTCTTCACTGTGTTCAGGTGCAGTCTGAGATCCTGAAGAGATGGAAGCGATGGAAGCTCGGGAAGGACATTGAGGAGGAGTATCGCCACACCTATAGCAACACGGCTCAGGTCACCAACAGCATGCCTGTCCATGCTTCGGCCAAGCCCAGGCTGCCAGACATCGCCCATCTGGCCTCTCCGCTCTCCAGCCCTGAGGAGAAGCATCTGCTGGCCATCGGCTGCCAGAACGGCCTGGACCTCCAACTGAGGGTGCCCCTGACCTCCCTGCCACACGAGGGCGCCACTAACAGTGGCCCACCAGAGGACCCTGAGCTGGCTCATAGAGTGCAGTGTTACAAAGCACCCCAGGGGAATGATGAGAGCAACCTGTGAGAAGGAGGAGCGTGCGTGAGTATCGCAGTGATGGTTCCTGCCCGGCCCACGCTCCAGTCTCACTCAGTCTGGATCGGTCCTGAGCCCGCCGTCCGAGCAGCAGTCACGTGTGTGACTGTGAGTCTGAATCCCAGTCGCGTGTGTGACTAGGAGTCTGAATGATTGTGTATGTATGCGTGCAAATGTGTGTGCACGTGCCTCTGTGGCCACTCTCTGGGTGTGTGAGTCTGAGAGTGTATGTGTGTATGCATGAGTATATACACAGTACTAAGCAAAAATCAGAGACCACCCTTCATTTATTTGATTTCCAGTCAAAACAGACTTTAAGTACAAAGTATTCATTTTTCCAGCTTTAGGAAAACATGTATGTAACAGAAAATGACACAGAAGCCTCAATAACTCAATATAATATTAATTTATTTACTATTTAGTGTGTCCACCTTTTGCATTTATTACAGCTTCTATTCTCTTCAGGAGAATTCTGCAGGGATATTTTCCGACACTTCCAAAGTTCAGTCTTAGAAGTTGGTTGCATTTTCTGCTTCTCACATTCAGTTATGTTGAGGTCTGGACTATGGGGTGGTCAGTCCATTGTTCTGAGAACACCAGCACCTTTGTTGTTTGATTTGCAAATTTTCTTCTTTCTTGTCTACATTCTTTTCTCAGTAACACATTCTTAAAAGCTACACATCCTTTCAGACTCATAGTGTTGAGCTGTCTTCTCACAGTGGAAGTTCTTTTTGAACTCCAGTGTTGGTCCTTAATTGCTATTTTGACTGGAAATTAAATAAATGAAGGGTCTCTGACTTTTGCATAGTGCTGTGTTGTGCTCATGTGTTTATCTGTGAGTCTTGGTGTATAGTCGCATGCAAAAGAACGAATGCCATATTTTAAGTTATTAACTAAATTACTCTTAGAAAATAAACAAATGTAATTCAACTGAGGGTGTTCAAACTTTTGTATATGACTGTATGCATGAGTGAGTGTGAGTGCGAGAGAGAGAGCTCTGTGGCCCCTCTGCTGCTCAGCGTGAAAGACATTATGGTCAGCTGTTCATTTCATGTGGAAAGGTGTTAAGTTTAACCTGTTGTGTGTGTTCTACGCACTCGGCACATGGATCTGGACGCAGCAATGTGCTGACCAGACCCTAACAGAGAAAATCTACAGGGGAAACCTCAAATGACACAGAAACCTGAATTTTACCTTTCCTCACTAAAACTGTTAATGGTTAACAGTTTATTAGGTATGGAAGACTGCAGGCCTAACCGACCACTTACACTCAGACCAGAATAAAGGAAATTAGATTGAATTCTTGATGCAGATGCCAAAGCACAAGGGGACAAGAGAAGATATTCACTCAGTGATTTTCAGAAGAGGCTTCATTTGACTCCCACTGACATTACAATTGTCCTGAAGTCCAAGACTCACAAGTACAAAAGCTTAAATGATTCCTGAAGATTTGAAGAAGTAATTTATGAGCATGAACTCATGTCTATGGACTCGAATCATCTAAAGAACCGTCTCTGCTATCTTCAATTTTAGCTTTGTCTTCAATGTCGTCCTTACTGTCCGAAAGATTTCGGTATTTGTGAAGCCCATAAGATTTAATTCTTGCTGTTGTTCTTTTATTGTGTTGTGTTGTTGTTTTCCGGTGATGTTGAGGTCTCAGATTGTTGACTACAGGGTGGTATGATCAAGCAGCTCAGAAAGAGTGCCTTTCTTTCAAGATGTGTGAAAACTGATACTCCATATGGCCAAAAGTCTTACGTGGTATCTCATTTTCCTCAAGTGTGACAGTTTACAGGCTCATGTCTTTGACATGTTTTGCTATGAGGCAGGGCTGCACGATATGGGCATGTAAAATTGCTATACATTGCGATGTGCCTTGCAGTATTTTAACAACACATTAATGAATCCTTTTTGTGGTTAAAGATTGACCAAAATGGTTTTCACTTGTTGGTTCATGTAAATGCCTTGATGCATCACCCAGAAACACTGGATCATCTGTGGTTGGGCACAGAGGCATCATTTGTATAGAGCAGCTTTCAGCGATAACAGTATTGCAAAGATCAGTGTTGCAATAAAGGATTAGGGCCATCAGAAGTAGTATTTTCCTTTCTTAATTATAGTCCAGTATTTAGGTGTCATAAGGTCTTTTCACACCAAGTCTTTTACAGAAAACAAAAAACAGATGCATTTTTTTAATGCATTTAAAACATCCAACAAGTGCAATGTAATTCTATTAAACACATGGGAAAAAACAAAAAGGATAAAGAGTAGTAATGACAACAAAGTGTATTTCTGTTAGTCAACTTGATTCAAAGATGCAGACAGTAGGTAACAGCCCATTCTGCTAAAAATGATAAACAGCAAATTTTTCCAACTTTTTCCAACAGACACGGAAACTCCTAACCAACTGGAGTTCAAAGGCACTGTTTAAGCTCAAATTAACCCCTTCACATTAACCCCTTAAATGGCCTGAGCCCACCAGTGTTTCCAAAGTTTTATTACACACTTCTATAATCTAAGAATAGCTTGGCCCTGTAGTTACTGAATAATAAGCCTTAGTATGTAATAAACCTGGGATTTTAAGGGGTTAAAGGAGCGGACAAATCAGGACAGACCATGAGCTCTGGTGTGAAAGACCAAGCACTGAGAACATTTTTCTTTTTTTTCTAAATACTCTGGTGTCAAACATCTTTAAGGCTATGTTGCCCCCCCTCTGAAGCAATTGGAAACGGTCCTAGTTATACTGAAAATATATTTGTGATATGCAGTTTTAATTAATGTGCCTATCTCTTATAATTGACAATTTTGGCCCGATTTATGTTTCAGTTTTGCTTATTGTTCCACCCTTACAAATGATATATTGTGCAGCCCTGCCATGAAACGTTAACGGCTAACGTTTACTACCTAGAACTGACCTTGCTGCACTTGAGGTAGAAAATCATACGCAGCAGATTTTTGGCCCATCTGTTTCTTTGTGTGAAGGCATAAAAATGATACATCCTCCTTTAATACAAAAAGAATTCCATGCAGTTATAAATACTCAAACACATGCATGTACATTTACACAAATGCAAACACACAGCTGCTATTTAAAAAAACAATACATTTGTGATCAATTTGCCACACTTTTATTAAACAGTCTGGTTAATATGAACTCTCAAGCTCAAGTTACGTTTAATGCGTCACTGTAAATCACAATGATGTGCCAACTGGCATACAAGCGTCTCTCTCTGAGAACATGTTGCCGTTGTAAGTAAAAATAGACACATGGAATATACAAATATGTAAAAGCTGGAAAAGCCCTGACTCAATGCCTTAGTGGGGCATCATGCCAGATCAGGTTCCTCCACACTTGGAGGCACCTCACAGATTCTCCTACATCTACTATCTCTTCCTACTCTGCTTTAGGATGCCATGTGAGCTGCTGATTAGTGCCATAATCAACTCCTTTTAGCAGTTTTCTCTATTTTTATGTCTTAGTTAGACTTCTAATGCAGGTACAGAGCCTTTGAGACCCCTTACGCTACAAAAAAATGATATCTTGGCAAAGCAAAGTATCTTAAAGTCAACATGTGCGGGAAATCATAACGTGTTCTTCTCTACTTATTTCCGAGTGGAACACAATATCGGAGAGGGTCTCTGAGCTAGCTGAGTGATTTCTCTTTGTGATAGGATAGGTGGGGTCTGCGGAGAAAGTGAAACATGATAATATTGGTTAATATTATTTTTCTTTGCCTGCTGGTGCATGGTGACGAGCAAATTCATTACATTTTGATGGACGATCGCAGAAAAACAGTTTGGTTATTTAAATGATATGATTTGATGAATTGTGCTTAATATTACCGGGATCAGCTGAGTCAGGAGAAAACATGCTAAAATATGCTGCTACAAATCACCCTGTAAAGCCTGAAATAATAACTTAAAAGTCAGAGGCATCGGGTCAGATTTCGCTGGGGGTTTTCAGACCACATCATACGTCTTTACATATAATTGGCTCAGTGTTTAGGTTTCAAATGCAAAATCAACAATATACTGATAAAGATTTGATGACAATAGTAGATAATTAACTTGCATCCTTGGAAGACACGTCCTTTGCCAAGTTCTCTTTAAATACTCTTTCAACATTGCCTGCAACCATCAGTTTCACAACCAACATTCTTCCAAACTTTACGTGCAAGTACACATTTCCACCAGAGATGTCTCCAAATCCCCAAATCTTACATAGTATAGCTTTAGTTGACAAGGTGAAAAAGGTCATTTCTGACTTTAAATGTACACAACATCTAAAATTTCCAATCATGACATTTTTATAATAATATTATAAAATGATTAAACCTATTTCTTGAAGTAAAATGATCATACAGCTGTGTCAGATCATTTTACTTTTTAATTTTTTTCACAATCACAGTTATCTTGTAGTAAGATTTGAATTATCTAATAATTCTTACAATGCTATGAGAGAAGGGTCTGTATATTGTAGTAATTCCTTGATATGGAAAGAGTACCAGTTTCTGATATTTTTATGTACATATCTGCTGATGCCATTGGTAGGTAGTGCTGATACATCTGCCTGATTTAGCATGGCATAAAACATTTATTTCTATAGGGCTACAAAGGTGGTAGAAAGTATTTAATGCAAGTGTCTTAGCACAGTTGCTTAGTGTCACCTAAATATATTGGTTCTCTGCCATACAATAAATATATCATTACATATCATTCAAATTTACACTTCTGTCCGATGCTGATAATTATTTTTTAATAAGAATTTCTGCCAATACTGATATGGTTCTGGTATCATGCATCTCTAAGTGTATTCCCTACATTTACGATGCTTTCGCTTGCCAGGATGTCTTTTTTTTGCAATGTACAGGTGATTGAGAACTGTTGATAAGAACCATCTGAACAAACGACACTATGAAGTTGATCAAAACATTTTTTCTTTATATCAAATGATCCACTGCAGTCCAAACACATGGATGCAGTACTAACGCATATATTGTGTGTTTTAATGGAAACTAGCAGCTGTTGCTCCTCGTTGCACCAGGACATACACATTCATCAGCAAACTGAGGATGAGGACAATGAAAATAGTTGGCATGTGACTCAGATGGACTATTTGCACAATGTTAATTTATAAATGCGAAAAATGTAGATATCTGTACATCCTTATTAAGGTTTATAATGACTGATTTTTTATTATTTGTTTTTCATTTGTACACATTGAAGTCCCTGTCTGTTTGTGTGCTCATTGTGTGTGGGGGGCTTCGTGCTTGTGTGGGCCTCCAGGAGGGGAAGAGGGAGGCCTACTTCGGTGTTAGCTGTGCTCAGAATAGCATCTTTGTTGTGCGCTACTAGAAAGACCAGGAGAGAGACAAGGTTACCTTCAAAGCGAGGAGATGATTCACCCTTGTTTCTGCTCTGGGGGCAAAACGGATATGGCTGTTTCGTAATTCTTGTAGGTGGGAGACTC